TACTACTATAATCCTTATTAGGGTATATGAACCACAAACCCTTTTAGGGTTCATTTGGTTCTCAAGGTAGACACTGCATGCCACGCGCAAGTCCTGTTGGGCAGCATGGAGTTGTGCTTCCAGGTGCTCGAACGCGGATGGCTCTCGGTCATCTCCTCAAGTCCCCAATCTGAAAAGACCCTCACAAAGCTCACTCACCACGCCGGCCGCTCGCCACGTCGACAATCTAACAGTTCAAGGGTTGCGGTTTCCGACTCTTGTCTGCCCCCCTTTGGGTTTTGAGGAATCTTCGCTAGCGGCTTGAGACTTGTCACTTGCTCGGCCATTCAGGGATGAGGATTGTCCACTCGGCCGCCAGCCTTTCGGAGTTGAGGCCGTCTCCTCGCCTTCAGGGCTCAAGCTTTCCCACTCCTGACTAGCTGACGGGTTTGTCATGGTTAAACACCCTACTTTTCCTCGCTTCTTTCCTGTCACTAGCCTCGTAACAAACGAAGTGAACGTTAACAAAAAACCTTCAGAAAGGATTCGTGAGCTAACCTTCGATCTTTCCTGGTGCTCCTTTATCATCCGATAATAAGACCCAAGACTTTAAGGTTTTCCTCACGGTTTTCTAATGGAATTTTCTTAGCAGATGATTTTGCTTGAGGCCCGCACCGAAGAGCCATGACCAGGACCACCAAGAGGAGGCCGGTGCCTCACCTGGCACCGAGAACGCAAGCAGGAACCCCAGAATAATTACAGACTCGAGACTATGGCATGAAGAACAGCGACGTTCATGGCGCCAAAGGTGTCCAAAACACACGCCGCCCGAAAACAAGAACTAACAAACCCTAAACCCTAAACCCTAAACCCTAAACCCTAAACCCTAAACCCTAAACCCTAAAACATACTCGGCTCTGGTCCCCGAAGTGAAGAAAAACTGACTTCCAGGGCCGGGTCCTGCTTCAGAGGGCTTTGCTGCTGAGGCAGGTGAGCCTGGAAAGCACGTTTGCGGTCTCTGGACTCGGGGGTTTAGGGTTTAGGGTTTAGGGTTTATTTTGTTCACACACACACTTCCCACTAAAGACAAGGTGGTTCACCCCCGGCTTTCGGTTTTACGAGGGATGTGAAACTCTTTCATCTGTTCTCTCAACGCACTTCCAGCCCGCATGGCCTCGGTAAAGGGTGCTGTAGGTGGCTGTAGGTTCCCCAAAAACGGTGATTCCGAATGATTTCCTGCGGCTTTTCAAGCTGAGCTGGTACCTCAAACGACCCGGATGTGCACTCGACACGAACAAACGGGATCGACTCGTGATCGACATGCCACACCATTTGCCGGGCCAGGATCAGTAGCCATCAGTTTCCATGCGTTGACAACCAGCAACAGATGTCTGTTGGCCCGTGCTCTCGCCTGAAAATAGAGAAGGGTATCATAAACCCTCAACCCTAAACCCTCAACCCTAAACCCTCAACCCTAAACCCTAGCCCTAAACCCATCACAGCCCCTCAAGCACACGGTTCAAAGGATGAAGACTCGTACCCCTAAGGTTGACCCTTAAAATGACCCTTATATTCCCTCAGGGATCCTTAAACAGGGACCCCCAAACCCAAGGGTACAACCTTAAGGGTCCAGGGTAGAACCCCTAGAAGGGTACCGTCAAGAAGTAGTACCCCCCAAGCACGTCAAGGCAGGGGCGCCTAACCCAGGCTGGCCCTTAAAGCCCTCTGAAAAATATTCCTGAATATGATCCTAGGGTTTAGGGTTTAGGGTTTAGGGCTCTTAAACTCAATAAGGGAAAATAGAAAAGGTACCAAGGGCCTACCTAGTAACCACACCACGACTCCAAGGCAATGGCAAGGCAGGGACACATCCAGCAGGTTTCTGTCGAATGCCTCGGCATGGGCATTGCATGCTCTGCATTTATGTTGCCGTTCCTTCAACCTGAAAATCTCAGACCCTGAGCCCTAAGCCCTAAGCCCTAAGCCCTAAACCCTAAACCCTAAGCCCTAAGCCCTAAACCCTAAACCCTAGATGCATCTAAACACTGAACCCTGCTGCACCCGGCGCCTCCGCCTTGGCGTTGAAGGAGTCGGTGCTGCCACCTTGGTGAACGAAGAACGAGGCGGCCAACCCTGAGCCCACCCAACAAGGGTTTAGGGTTTAGGGTTTAGGGTTAAGAAGGCGCGACTCTTGGGGACTGCAACAGTATGTCAGTATTCTTTCTTATGTCGATTTAAGAGCGTTTACATGGACAGCCACTCTGCCAAAGCGATCCACCTCCAATTCGACCACACAGGTAAGGTGCTCAACTGCATCGATGTGGCACGCGGCTGCCCTGCCCTAGGCATCTATCTTACTCGACAGACTCTTTGAACATTGGCTCCTCCCTGCAGCGAGCTCATATCGTCACCTTATCTTCGTTTGAGTTTGTGTCTTGCGCCTTTCAAGGAAAGACAAAAGGACAGGCTCAGGGCGTTCTGCTCTTTGGGGCTTAGGAATCCCACGCCTTTTAACATCTAGGGCTTAGGAACCCCACTCCTTTTAACATCTAGGGCCTCGGAACCCCACTCCTTTTAACATCTAGGGCTTAGGAACCCCACTCCTTTTAACGTCTAGCAGCTGACGATTGCTTTGTCGCTCGCTTTAGACAGGTTTTGCCATTGCGCCGCTTGGTCATATCGTTGCTTTGAGGCTCACAGGTTGCCACGGGGTTTAGGGTTTAGGGTTTAGGGTTTAGGGTTTAGGGTTTAGGGTTTAGGGTTTAGGGTTTAGGGTTTAGGGTTTAGGGTTTAGGGTTTAGGGTTTAGGGTTTAGGGCCACTCGCTCATTCATTCCGTGCACTCATTCATTCTCTGGCCTGGCCCTTATAAGAACTACGTGAATCAACGCAGGCTCTGGAAACAGCCATTTCATAAGGGCTTTGGGTGGGCTTTGAAATAATATACCAAGAGAATACACCAGAATTACAGTATTTAATGGGGCCCTTTGTTTTTCTCTTCTTGCCCTTTTTGCGCTACTATTCTACTCATATTTCCTGTCCCGTTTCGTGGGTTTCATTCGTTCTCTCGTATATTCATTCACTCAGTACACCTTTTCGCCCCTGCTTTTCTGAGCTGGGATTTTTGCCACGCATCTAGCGGAGACGAATACGCTTGCACACTTCATCCACTGCCAGCCCACTGCCATCACGAGCAGTGTTCAGTAGCCATGCTGCAGCACTAAGCCTACAAGAGTGCCACGACACTTGAAGCTTTTGACTCTCACACTCGCAATTTCCCATTCGCAAAACCCTTTGTTGACTGCATTCATGTTAGGGATTGCAAGGCATAAACGTTAATCTGAGCTCCCACGCCCACCAGCCAGTCCAACCAGCTCTCTTGCGTGATGGTCTCGCGATTCTCACCTCATGCTGGACCCCTCTTTGGAAGGGCCCCTCGAAGGCAACTTTCCCGGCCTACACGGAGGACCTGTTCAAGCCGCCTCCCCCTCAAGGGTATCTCTACAACTGCGTCGAAGGTGCTTGGTGATTGGGCAAATGCCCATCTTTACCCTTCCATGTACAACCCAGAACACCGCAAACTCTTGCATGTACCTAAACAAAAAGAGCCCTCAAGGCCAAGAGACCAAGAGGTGCCACCCCACCCCCTTAAGAGATACCAAGCGCTCGGGGTGGCACACCCAATGATCGTTTACAGGCTCACGAACCTCCACCTCCCTCCCCTCATCCCAACATTGCCTTGTTATGCACATGGTTTGGGACAATGTATCAACTCTGCTATTTGCAGTGCTTCTTGCTTGCCAAAAGGGCGGTTCTAGGACAACACGCTTAGAAGCCGCAAGAGTCATGCACGCGCGTACTGCACACATATGCGCAGGCACACAAGCAACTGCTTGCATACATGCAGATGGACATGCTGGTATTCATATGCCGTGATGTGGGCTGCCTGCTGCTTGCTTGGAGATAAGCAGTTGTGTGAAGATGGTGGTATTCACGCAGTTGTTTCGTGCAGACCCGCTCGGGTCACACACTACAACGCAAAACTGCCAAGGGTCCTCCGACAGAGTTCCATAGTGGTTATGGTACGCAAATTGCCTTGCAGACCTTCTCTCTGCCCGAAAGCCAATGATACTGAAACCGCATGCCGATACGGAACATGTGCCTCAAAATCACTACGTCCGGGAGAAGCAGCCCATACTTGCGGAAGAATTGCCCAAAGCACAACAACCACCCACCAAATCTGACCTCAAAGAAGCCGAGACCACGGAAATGGGATCGAAGCGAACTCGAGGGGCCCCGAGCTCACGCCAGTGGCGGACTTCAAGGGGCCCCGGGCGGCCGAGGGCCGGTACCGAAAAGCCATGGCCACCAGCAAGCTGCGCCTCCAAGCAGGGTTCAGGGTTCAGGGTTCAGGGTTCAGGGTTCAGGGTTCAGGGTTCAGGGTTCAGGGTTCAGGGTTTAGGGTTTAGGGTTTAGGGTTTAGGGGTCTGAAACAAAAAGCACACGCGTGCAGAGTCAAGACCTGGGAAGGCCCACACACCCCTCCAGAACCGGCGGTAGCTTCAGAAGAAACCCATGGCGGGGTGGCCCTCCATGTCTCTTCCAGACTTCTGCCTGCACGAGGACAGCAAAGAAACGTGACAAGCATCCAGAATCACGCTCAGGTGGAGTCGGGTGCTCAGGGTTCTTTCGTGCTTCTGGAAGGCTGGGGCGCTGCTCACAGTAGCTTGCGAGAACGTTCTAAATCGGAGCAGGGCTGTGCTGGGACGTACTTCAACATGCATGCTTGCACAAAACCCCTATCATTGAAGGTTCACGGCGGTCTGCTTTCCAGAGCTCGGAACCCTGAAGAACCCCCAGTACCACCCACTGCCATGCCACATATCCGCGGCCTTGGCCAGGGCGTGTAACGAAGAATCCCCAAGTTGCTGGAGCCACGTGCAGCCGGACAAGAGTAGCGATCATGTATAGGGGTGTGCATGCTTACTTGTTGCAAAGGCTCGCGTGTTGCTAAGTTGCCATTTAACACTGCACCGAGCCAACATGTGATGATGCATGGCAGTGGCAGGAGAGGTCTGCAGGGTCGAAGTCGCCTATCCTGGCGAAGACGTTCCTGAAGCTGCCTACAGAATCTGCAGCCTCAGCTGCGTATGTGCGAAAGAAGTCCAGGGATGCGGTATGCTCCCTGTACGCCTGGTCGAAAAGCGCCTCGGGAACGTGCAAGCCTTGTGAGAAGTCGAGCCGTCGCCAACTCGCTCCAAGATGCCACCCACTCGCAAGCGCTGCACCTGATCGAGCTGGGCTTCGCTGTATACCACGAAGGCACCCAGCATGACGTGCATCCTCGACTCTGCGCCGTGGCAATTCCATTGTGGCTCGTTTGCCTCGCATCCTGCCAGGGCATAGAACCCGTCTGCAACGCTGCGCCGTCGCTGCTGTGACACCGACGTGTTTATGCCCAGCACCTCCTGGCTGCGTGTTTCAAAGATGGCGCTCATGATTAGATCCTGGGGATTCCCATTGACCCAGATTCCCAATGGGAATCTTGCAGCGTCGCTCTGAAGGAGCTTCCGAAGGCTCGGCGGCACGGCATCCGGCAAGCACTGCGCGGAGGCCCTCGCACAGCCAGCCAGAACACCAGCCGTGCCACCGAGAGGTATCTACACACCATCGCGGCAAGTCGAAGGCTTTGTGAGCCAAAGAGCCGCTGACATCCAAGGAAGATCAAGTAAGGAAGAACTTGGCATCAGCTGGAGCTGTGTTCTACCACCGCACCGCACCGCACCGCAACTCTTCCTTTGCGATGTCATCGAAGTTCCACTCCCAGAGCTGTACGTACGACGTACACTGGCGACCTGCGGCACATGTCGTGAGCGACCCTTTCGATGCAGGTGTGATGTTTCGAATCTTCAATCACTGCCTAAGGCCAAAGCAGGGCAACACTGATGCAATCCTGACCCTGTGTAGCCATGCACAGACCTGCAGGGCACTGGTCACATCAGGCCTCTTCTCGGCGCCCCGGCGCCCAGCCACCGTCTCGTTGTACTCGCAAAGCTCGCTGAAGACTTCCTTGCCGCTCAAAAGGTACAAGAAATACATAGAAATGCTGGATAGCGTCAGGGCCAGGGAGTTCCACGGCTGTAACCTTTCTTGGCGACAGATTGGCAAATCTACACATCATACGCTAGTCTGGCTGGATACGCCTTCGCACCGTTGGAAATTCATCACAGCTTGCGCAACCACCTTTTCATGCAGCCTTCTCCCTACGACCTCTGCACCTTGTCCGGGCTTCTGCCAAGCAGAAATCTGAGCTCTTTCACCGCGCTGCCTTGGAGTCGGAACTCGTCGCTGCCTCCACCAGCGCAGCTCTTGAAGGGCACCGCCAGATTTCACAGTGCCTGTATCTCCGGCACACCAAGAGGTGACAAGTGACAAGAGCAGCACTGTCCCGCACTATCTTGCACTGCACGCCGGGCAAAGTCTGGGGCCAAAAAAGAGCCAAAGCCCTTAACAGCCCTTAATAGCCCTGAAAAAGCTTTAAAAAGCCCTTAAAAAGCCCCCAATAGCCCCGAATAGCATCCAAGAATTGTAGTGCTCCCGTAGCTTTGGTCTGGCCCGAAGTCGGAGCAAAGAGCCCCAAGGCTTAACAGGATCGCTCCATAGCAGAACTCTCTCAGGGGTACCCATTGAATCCGTAGGAACAACCCTAAACCCCAGGAGTCTAGATCGCTTTGACTCCGCAGCAACTTGAGAAAGACTCGAGAGAAGTCTCTGAATATGCATCCAAGCTGCCCGATCGAGAACACGAAGGTGTTGCCTCTCGCAAGTCAAGCTGAGGACTCGGAGTGGCTTACCGCTTACCATGGCTTAGCACTGCTTCATGCTTCGAGCTCCTAAGCTAGATGCTTGGAAGTAATTCTGAAGCTTGCATACTGTATGGCTTGGATGGCTGGCATGGCTTGCCCCAATCATCGTGGCAGCGTCTGCAAGCACCCGCATCTCTCGCAAGCATGCTCGCTTTCCGGCGGTTTCCTTGGCGAGGCGTTTCTGTGGCGTTACGCTCTGGACCTTCAAGAAGCCCCCACCACCACAGAACCTTGACAGCAGAACCTTACCAGTTCCCCGCTGATCTGGAGACAAGTCGCCTGGCCATGCCTGACAAACTTCAACGGCTTGGGGTCGGTCTGGGTCGGGGGCGCAGGGGGGGGGACTTGTCACGCGCTCTTTTCAAAAGACTTGATACCAGGTGCTGACCCTGAAAAAAGCTCGACTCGTAAAACGATCTGCAATCGCGCGCCCTGATCGCAGCTTCTTGGCCCAATCTTTCAACTCAACACCCACTCACAACTGCTCACAATTGCTGTGTGCAGCGGCCGATTCTCGCGGAACTCTGCACCGCTCTGGCTGTCCAGCAGAGTGCAGCCCAGCCCCTGCGACAGCCTGGGAATGGTGTGTTTCGGACCCTTTGGGTTTGGTTCCTTGATGTTTCTGCCCCTCATCCCACACCCCTAAGTCATTACCTGAAAAATCCGCGAATATCCAATCCTTTCTTAAACCATATGCTCCCACGAACACTCCGATATACGATCGCGCGGATGGTGTGCTTCACTGCGTCACCTTATTTGAACGAAAGCTCTTGTTTCACGAGCACATCCCCTGGCCGCGATCGACCTCACTTCTGTGTTTTTGCTGCCAGCATGAAACCCAATTGACGCTCGTCTTCGACTTGTCCTTGCGTGGTTTGGAGAACAGCCAATATCGCAAGTCGACAAATCTTGGATGAACGGCTACTCCTGAAAGCCCCGCCCATGCATGTCAAGGCCACAAGATGCATGAAAAGACCCATCATGAGTCGTGAGTTCTGGAACGGTCTTTCAGCTTGAACTTGCTACTGCGTCTAACACTTGTTGTCTAGCCGCAAACCGCATCCCCAACAGCGAAACAGCAGCACTGTGGGCTCAAGACTACCTGAACGCAGCGGTGCGGCTCGGAACAAAACGCTTTTCAGCCAGTGAATGACCGAAAACACCGTACAGCTACATCTAATGACATCTCTTCTGCCTTAAGCATGACTGCACTTTTGGTGACTCTTGTCTGAGGCTTCCAAGGGCACAGCAACACGTTGCACAGGCCAACACAATTGAGTTTGTTGCATCGGAACGTGAGTTGTTTGACCAAGCCGAGGAACCCGGGTTCCCAGAGCATGAATCTCGGCCCTCATTGAAAATCCCGGAAGCTTAGCAACAAGGGGGTGGGGGTGTGGAGGCCCTGAGGAGGGACATCCGGACCGCTCCGTTGGGAATCTTTCATGCCTCGCGGCCGAGGCCGAGGCGAACAGACTTGGCCGGGGGGAGGGGCGGGGGGGTGTCCGGTTTGCGGTTTAGGGTTTAGGATCTAGGGTGTAGGGTGTAGGGTTTAGGGTTTGCTGTAGTATGGCGTGCAAGAGGCAGATCTGACGGTTTTCAGTAGAGCCTTGAAGGCATCGAGCAATGCGAAGGGCGGCCATGGCCCGATCGTGGAGGGTCACCCAAACACCTTTCTCCCACCCCACGCCATCTCAGGCGACACAACCACGCAAACCTATTCCTTTTAGGGTTTAGGCCTAAACTCAAGCCAACCGCCCACTTCCAAAAGCTTCTTTCATTCCAGGGCGTCTCGTGCCAGGGGAACCCCAGAGGGTCCCAGGGATTTTCAGGGGCTCAAAAGGGGTTTGGAGCAAAAAGCCCCGACACGTTGCGGCGAGGGCTCTTGGAAGCTTGGGCTGCGCGTGAGGTCTTCGAGTCGATGTATAAAACACCAGCGGCTCGCGTAACAATCAAAGACTGCAAGCCTGAATATGGACTTGCAGGCACGAAAGCTCATTTTTTGGCTAGATGCTTCCGGAAGGACCTGGGCCTCCCACTCCAAAACAAACAATCTTTCAGGAATCTCCACATGGCTGGGCCGAGCCCCGAAATGCCAAAGCCTAAGACTGAAGAGCCTCGGCACGAAAACTTACTTAAGAACCCCCAAATTATTGACTTTTTGGGGTTCTTAAGCAAGTAGTAACTCATACACTCGAGCGCCATGCTTAAACGAAGACTTCCCGAGCATGCTCGAAAAGAACTCGCCCTGTACGGGCATCAAAAGCCTCACAGCACCCCTTGCAGGAGAAGGTTGCATGGTACGTTCTTTGTCCGGGTGGCGGAGCGAGGTGGCACCGCCTCACCGGCGTGATGCCAGCCACCTTACGATGACCCCACCAGCTACCGAATCAATTAAATCTAAGGTTGATTTCAGGCATTTAAGGCTTCAGGCTCAGGCATTGTTGCGGCACTGACAACCCTCAAAACCAGAGCGTAATGCCGCAAGCTCCTGCCTCTGAACCATAAGACTTCCATCTCCTCTCCCCGACTTCTCTCCCCGTCTTCTCTGGCATGCAAACGGACGGGGCCATCGCCCTGGGGCGCACCGCGCAGCGCTTGAGCGATGCATGACATACCTCGGATCGAAACGCGAGCAACTTGGGCCCCCTGTGCATTCGACTCACCTGCCGCTGATTCCGCTGGCTCTTTTCTTGTCTCTTGGATCGTGGCTTAAAGACCTGTTCATGGATCTCCAAACCCTGTTCGAAAGTCAGACCAACGTCTCCTGAATAAAGAAGAAGGCACCTTCACGTCTTTCACGGCGCCCAAGTCCAGGGAAACACGCCCTGCATACCGGATCATACCGGGTGTGATAGGGGATATCACTCGGCTGAATTTGAGTCTGTCATGAAACAGGGTAGTCCTCGTGACCTACTTGCGACATCACAGAGACCAGAGATACCCACAATGCACGAGCACTACGTGCAAAACGAAGCCATTCCTTGCGTCTGAGTTCGAGACTGTCTGTGACAGAGCTTATCACCAGGCTTGTGACTTAAGGCTCAAGCCATGGGGCTGCTGGCTTGGGCTTCTGAAAGGAATCTTGTCAGATCTTGGTCAGAGGAAAGTATTACTACAGTGTTTGCGCGCACATGAAGGAAGAGGAAGACCCCAGAACTGAGCAGCTCAATCTCTGCAGCATGCTCCTCAGAGTACATTACACACTACACATACGACCTTTGGCTGGTGCTTGCGACAGACAGGAAGCCTCCCAGATACACTCGAGCACTGCCCCAAGAAGCCCTCCAAGATGCGAAAGCCTGTGAGAGCCTCTGAAAACCCCCTGCTGGCAACCCAACCCCAAATCCCCTAAGCCAAAGCCCCTCGAATTCAAATTCGGCGCACCTTGGTATGTGAAATCCGACGGCCCCAAGCCTGAACAGTGCAGTTTAGGCGGGAGGCATGGGCCTCAAAGGCTCAGGCGGTTTGCTGAAGGACTGGGTGAAGGGATACCATGCCTTCACGGCGCTCCTTTTGTTGTGGCGGGGCCACTGTATGTGCAGATCGTGTAAGGGGGGCCCCCTAAAAGTGCTGCCGGGCTGCGGAAGCCAAAGCAATGGTTGCGGAACCGGCCATCGCCGGCCAATCCTCGAATTCGAGAGGGGGGGAGGGGTCAGTAAGGGTCTGAGGTTTATGGCTTTGGGAGTTGAGAAGCCAAGAAGTCTCCAAAGAGTTCTGCGCCTCCATCCTGCAGCTGCCTTTTCCTTGACACAAGCCTTCGACTCTCTAGGTCGGAACATCGCCAGAAATCCAGCAGGTCGAAGACACAAAGAGAATGGAATTAGACTCAAGTTGAGAACTACGGTCACAACTCCAATGATGGTAGCAGCAGACATTTGCCTTGTCCAGAGGCGGAGACTGAAGCTTGTGTGTTCCATTGAAGCATGGCACAGGTAAGGATATTCGCTCCGCATACTGTACCATTGGAACAGGGGAGATGCGTGCGTGTTGCATCATGGCTCCAATGATCCTTCTTGCGGTGGGTCCGCGCCTGTCGAAAACACAAATCTGTGAGCAGAACGCGAGCATCGCGCGGACATCAGGGATACTTGAAAGGAACCACGGGCTCCATTCAAAAAAAACGGAAGGATGCACGAGGGAAGCAAAGATTTGTTCAATGCGCATCCTGTGCCCCCGTCTGGGAGCCACGGAAAAAAGAATCCAAAAGAGCAGTTGCGAAAAAGGGAACCTCTGGAAGGAGGGTTCTGGTCCCAGTCTCGTGAAGGCAGTCTAGCGAGTCATCACCCGGCCCGTGTGTCTGAGAAATACCGAGATACGCCCACAAAAACATCGTCAAACCTGCCCAGCTTGCTCCACTCAAGTCCTGCATCCGTCCCAAGCCCGCAACCCTCTCGCCAAGCCGCTGGGCACGCACGTCGCCCCCGGCCACAGCAAAGTTGAGGGCACCGTCGGCGTCCACAGCGAATTGGATCGTGCCGGCCTTCAGGGTCTGGTTTCCGGCTCAGGGCTTCGGGTTCACGGACTATTCAGAGTGTGCAGGAGGGCATGGAGGGCCTAGCAGATCACAAACATTCAAAGAGCAAGATTTGAAGACGGAAGCTTTCCACAAAGGTGCACCGTCCTAAATAGGATCAAAGGCATATCAGTCAAGAAATGAACAGTTCAGTAAGATCATCGAAGCTTCTGTGCAGATGCAGTGCCGGCAGTAGCACTGCGAAGCCAAGACATGAATGTGCCGTACTCGTGGCTCATATTTTCTCTTCCAATGGTCCAAGCACACAATGCTCGATGCTTGAACTGAGTTTTGGCACTGATTCTCGCCAAGGACAAAATGTAGCACATTTACGATTTTGGGTAACGTTTATTGCAAGGCATTTCTCGCCCCAGGCCTTGCATATTCCTGGCGAGAGTCATCGTTCTCACGTTAATACATCTTCCTGCAGCTCTACACGGTTTGCGTGCCCTCTGTCACGTTTCTCTGCTCTTCTTTCCTGATCTTGAATCCTTCTGTTCAATTCTCATGGCGTTTTGCTTAGCATCTCCTCAAGAGTTTTGTTCAACATGTATATCTGCATACATCCAAACAATACTCGCACTAGCACTTCTATACCCTGGTCACGCTCCAAGCATCTAACCGTGGTAACCGCGAACTTTAGATCTGTCACTGCGCGAAGAAGGACCTGACAGCGTATGTACCCAGTTTGTTGCACGCCCCTCGTCGGCAAGCCACAATCACCTTCGCTGTTTACTTGTACAAGATCTGTCTCTTGGAGCTGGTAGAAACCAACAGTACCAATCTCACTCACCTCTGTTGCAACAGAGACCCCCCTTTTGGCGGCGCCTCCGTGGAAGATGCTTGGACGCACAGGCTATAAAAAGACTCCGTGGCGCCACCTGGCTGCGGCAGATGGAGTCCAAATGTCAGGCCATGTCAGTCTTGGGGGCGGGTTGTCGGCGAAGAAAGCAACAGCACGAGGCACGAAAGACTGCAACCTCGACACCAGGAATTCCCTTCGCACGCTGCGCCGGAACCTCAAATCCCTGGCTTCGAGGTGCAGATCCTCTGACTGCTCCTGTGCACCACTTCTCAATCAAACGTTCTGCGACCATGAGGCAGGCTTCCTCATCACCTTAAGCCCTGCGTAAGAGCCGCTCGGATCCCCTGAGGTTTGAGCCTTGTTCCAGAGAGATCGCCTGTGTCAGCTGCACGTGCCACGGCGTCTCCTCAGGAAGCTGAGGGAACAAAAACGAGACGAACAAATCAGACGGGGGGAGCACATATTTCCTCACGCGCTCACACGGCGAACATGCACAGGGAGCCGAAGTGAAAGTGTTGACTCTAAAGCGCTTCCAAATGATGTATAAAGAAACACACTCACACACTCACACACTCACACACTCACTCACTCACTCACTCACTCACACACACACACCTTTATTCGGCTTGCCAGTTTGCATCATCGTCCGCCGCCGCATCGACGGCCACGCCGTTACCGGTGAAGCTGAAGCTGGCGCCGCCTGAGGGCAAGGTCGAGCTGATGGATCTTGTGGGGGCTTGCGCTCCACGCGTCCACGCCCCAGCGACGTGCAAGTCTAGCAAACTTAAAGCATGCCCTTCCCGGGCACACGGACAAGTCCACTATCAACGAGGGGGGGGGGAGGACACGGTGTGAGGCCAGAAAAAGGAATCCTTACAAGTAGAATGGCTTGAATTCCACAAACTCTTGTCCCAGGTCCGAGTCTCCTGGCTCCTTGAGGTAGGTCCCCCAGGCAGCGCCCGAGAAGCCCGGGTCCACGAGGAGCTCTGGCCCGAGCTCGCCATCCCTTGGGGGATCTTTTCCGAAAAACGTTCAGTAAACATTCGCCGGGAAAATGGAAGGGGACAAATTTAATACAAATAAAGCGCGCGTCAACTGGCCTTTCATGTAAATTAGCATTGTATGGGTTTTGCAGGAATTTACTTTTGGTATCTGCTCCAAGTCACTCTTGACGAGGAACCCACCCTCGGACCCCAACCGCCTGTTATACCTTCCGGAGATCCGCTCCTTGGCACATAACCTCTCATGCAACTCCAGAGCGAACCACAAAGTCGAGGATCAAAAGGGAAGAAACCGTCTTAGAGAACACCGGGAAGATAATCGCCTAGAGTCATGAGTGAGAGTTAATCATATGAACTCAGCTGTCATGTTATATTGTCCTATTCTTCAAACCTACCAAACACAACACCCAAAGAGCTCAATACCCCTCAAGTAAGGAGTATACCTTAAATCACATTCAGGATCCTAGGCGTCGGAACCGGATCAGGAAGAGTCCAGGACGCACGGAAAGCAGTACCAGACACACAAATCCACTTACAAAAAACTGTGTCAGCCACTTGGGGTACGCGTATGCCTCTCACTTCGAGAGAGGCACGCCTCGCATTAGGGTTTAGTCTAGGGTTTCGGGTTTCGGGTTTAGAAGTTTAACCAAAAAAGCTGGCGAACGCAGAGGGTTTTCCAGCCCGGCGACGGGCAGCCCCACTCCGTGTGCAGGGAGCTGCGAGTGGGGCAGCTCACGGTCGTCAGCTGCCTGAAGCCCCGAAGGGTTTAGGGTTCAGGGTTTGCGGTTTGGGTTTAGGGTTCAGGGTTTAGGGTATGTGCTTTGCACACACTTATTCTTTACTCTCAAAAAAAAAACATTCTGACTTTTTGCAGCTATGGGCCTCGAGGCGCCCCTCATAGGTTGACCTGCGCAGCACACCACAAGATGCTTGGATGACCGATCAAAGCAGCCGATGCTTCCTGGCCCAGACTCCGTGCACGCCCACACGCAAACCCTTGCCATGCCTCCCTTTTGCCGGCAAAATATCTCTGAGTCGCCGCCTTAAGCGGGAATCTCAAAGAATTTATGTGCCAACAGAGCATATCCTGCAACTGCACCCTGGCGGCATAAGCGCCTTTCATTACAGCGCGGAAGTCTCTTCCTTGCGCTTGTAGATGATGATGTATTCAGGGTAAACCTGATCGCTGTTAAAGACGATGAACTCCCTGTACGTTCCCCGAGCTTTCTCGCGATCTCCAAGAACCGAGTCATGACGCCCCTGCCGTACGTCTTGGAGAAGAGCTCCCACGTCCGGCCTAGCTTCATCGTTGTAGAGCCAATCGCCGCAGGTGACTCTGCATAGAAGCATGCAGAACAAGCCTGTGTAGAGGCCCTCTTTGTCATCGGAGGCATATTCATCCGACTTGCTGGAAGATTCAGCAAAGTAAAGTCCCTTTCCATACAGCGTTCCCTTGTGAGAACCGGCCATGTCCACTCTGAAGTCAGAGCTGCAAATCTGATGAGCCGCTGATGGTTTTGTTCCATGGAACAAATAGAACTCACGAACATCTTGAACAAGCGACAAACAGCCATCAGTTTTGGAGAAAGCATCGCACAGGCTGGTCTTTGCAGTCTCAGTAGGCAAGTTTTTGCCCTCACATCTTTTGCGGATGCGCTCCCGCTGGCGCCAATAAGCTGCCCAAAGACCTGGGTTTTCATTCCGCAGAACCTGCACCACTTCGAACTGCTTGACGCTGCAGTCATATCTCCCTTCATCCTCTTCCTTCGCCCTGTCTCTTGTAACTGTGGATTTCCAGGTGCTGTCCATGAGGGATTGTATGGCTTGGCAAGTTGCGGAAGTTTCCTGAATTCTTCGTGAAGCCATATGCCCATCCTCGACTTTCCAATATGAAGGCATTTCTATCGAAAGGTTGCCGATGTCATCGTGTGCACATCGAGATGTTCTCATTTCATATTTGCCTTCCCAGCACATCCAACCTTTCTCTCGGATCCAACTCCATCTCGGGTTCTCCGATGACCAGTTGTTTCCGATCAGGGTGGCGCTTGGAAGGATGTTTTCACCTAGGAAGCTCACTCCCTTTTCAACGTCAATACATATGACGTCATCACTGCTTTTCTTCTCAGCCTTGTGATGATGTGTGAACGTGATCTGCGGCACATCAAAGCAGAATTCTTCGGGCTCAGAAGACAAGGCAATTTGGTCCAACAGAACAACTTTGCACAGAGTCTGACCGTGCTCATCCTCAAGCATCAAATAGGCAGAGAAAAGCTTGCCGGAGATTCTTGCGTGTGCCTTAAACTCCAGCAGGTGAGCGTTACCTTTCCCAGAGAACATGGAAGCACGCATCTCGCATGTCCCCTGCGTCATCCTCCCTTCTTCCCGGAGGTACTTCGGATTGATCTTTTCCGGCGCATCTTCAATCAGCACTGCGTTGGGAAGGACGTTTTCACCCAGCAATCGTACTCCCTTCTCAGGGTCCAGATGTATATAGTCCTCTGCGCCCGAAACTTTGTGGGGTAAATTGACGTTGTTGTCTTCGGCTTCTTCGTCGTCCTCATGATGTACAAAAACAACCTTGGCAACATAGACAGAGAAAGACACCCAAGTCTTCAGTAGAGCCTGCTGCTGCACCAACCTACCAGTAGTTGCAATGAAAGCACCTCTGACACGGTCTTGAACTGAGATCTCTGCCGAAAATTCTCGGTTTGGCGTATTGGCTTTCACATGAAACTCCAACAGCTTGACCCCGCTGTGTACGTGGAGGGGGTCGAGCTGGGTTGCAATGGAAACCACGTCTGCACTAGAAACCTTCTCCCAGTCGCTAACAGAGCTCATGACGTCCAACGGCTGCCTACAGACGCGCCTGTTCTTGTTGACGCCTAGGAGGAAGCCCTTGTCAATGGCAATGGTAGAGACGCCCTTTTTGGCAACCTTCTCCCAGTTGTTGCTGCTTGCGTTCAAGGTGTCCAGCCCATGCCTCCAAACCATTTTGTCTGTGCAAACCGCATAGATGAAGCCTTCGCCACAGGCAATGGACACCACTCCTCCACTGGACGCTTTCTCCCACTCGCTGCTGGTGTTCATGGAGTTCAGCGGCTGCCTCCAAACGCACATGTCCGGGCCGACACCATAAATGACACCCTGGTGAATGGCAATGACAAGCACATCCCCTTTGGAAACCTTCTCCCAATCGCTACTGGTGGTCATGGTGTCCAGCTTCTGCCTCCAAACACACTTGTCCATACCAACCCCATAGATGGCGCCGTTCTCGATGGCAATGGTGATCACGCCTTCTTTAGAAACTTTGGTCCAGCTGCTGCCGGGGTGCATGTCACAAAGTGGCTGTGCCCAGACACAACGATCAGGGCCTGTGACGAAGATGCGTCGGGTGAGCAGAATGCGATCAATGACGCTCTCGGCATCTGCATCATTGAAGTTTGCATCCTTCAAGTCGTACCCATGAAATTTCGCGACTTCTGTGAACTTCTGAATGCACTCTTCACGCGATGGACCAAAAGAAGGGACTGCAGGCTTCGCCCTGTCCTGGAGCACATCGACAATCCAGGAGGCGTCGTCATTGAAACTTGCTGTCCCATTCCCTTTTTTGATCTTGACCTTAAATTTCTCGTGCCACACGAAATGCAAAGGGAGTCTGACACTTTCAAGGCTTATGCAGTCGGCCCGGCCGTTCAAAGCGGGACGCACGTACCAAGAGCTGTCACTCGCAATCGATTCTGCGTGGTCGGGCGGAGGTAGTGGTGCTAATTCCAAAAGACCTTTGCACTGTCGGACTACACGGTCGCCAAAGTTCGCGGACTTCAACGACACACTGCCGAAACTGCCTGACCGTCCGGGGATGACATGAAAGGTCGAGTCGGGGTCGTAGCTTGGGTCCATGGGTTCTCCAAGCTTGAACTTGAAGTCCGTGTGCCTCAAGTTCTTGTCGGGGAAGTTCGAGCCACGCAAACGCACGATGCTGCCGGGCAGAAGGGGGACAAAAGCAGCATGCTCGTTGGACTTGTTGGGCTCCGCGGCCTTCTGGGGCACCGCCGGTTGAGGCGGTTGATGCTGTTGAATCACAGGCACAGGGCTTGAGGCGGCGCATCCCATGGCTCGAGTCAAAGCACACACACGTAACACACATACACAAAGTGGGGCTCCCGAGCCTCGCCAGCACGGACAGAGCATGTACCCCAAGCTTGCTTGACAGAACAGGCAGTTGTGGGACAGGATCCCCATCGAGAAGCATTTGCCCGAATTTGCACCGATTCTGTTTGACATCTACAGGCTTTGCAAACTGCGCACACTTGGTCAGCCGGGCCCCGGACAGAGAATGCACATGCCGACCGCGACCACGATCCTGGTTGATGAAATCGCGAGTTTGAGCAAGCCGTGCCTTGAAAATGACAAAAACTCAGATATGCGGAGCCATTGCTCTCCTGAATAGCTAAAAGATGTCGGTCGCAACCTTCGCCGCCGAATTGCCCAGCCAAAGCCCGACATGCAGATACATCTGCACATACACTCTGAAAGCCTTTGCTAGAACTCATGAATGAGCAAGGTCCAGAACACCTCAGCCACTCGAGGCGGGCCTGCATCTGCGCCGCTGCCTTTGGGAAAGCTGCGAGAGACGAAACAGCTTCACGTTAAAGCTGGCTCTTTACTGGCCAGTTGGTTTTTGGGGGTTTATAGGGCTGCATGAAGCTTGGGGGTTTCAAGGGTTAAGTATGGTCTTGCGGTTTACGGTTTGGATTTCGCTTGCTTTCGAACTCTTCGGGCTTCCGGGCTTTAGGGGCAGCTGCCGGGTGTAGAGCTTGGTTTGTGTGAAGCGGGCGGTGGGGTTTAAGTCTATCATGTCCAGTCTATCATGCCCCAAGGCAGTTAAGCCTGCTGGGTTTTGTCGGAAACTTCTTGAAAGCGATGACAGCCGAAGCCCAACACCCAAAGACTTTGGTCTGCTTTTAAGCCTGGAACCCAGATACCCTTCATTCCTTGCCCCGCCACACCCATGGCAACAGGTTATCAGGTTCAGTGGCGATAACTAGGATGCGCAGCCTTGTAGCTACAAGCCTGCCCGCAAAAAACCCGAAACCCTAAACCCTAAACCCTAAACCCTAAAAAGTCCCAGTTCCCGGTCAAAAAGGGCCTTGGACCGTGCCCTTACTACAGCAGCTTTTGGGGACTCTGTGGAACTCTGTGGCCTGTTGGGGGCTGACTTTGTGCCCCGGTGAACGGTCCCTGGCTTGCCCCAAAAGCCGGCGGTCACTCGGGCACTAATTCTTCCCACGAGAAGAGCCCTTCGTGAGCGTGTTTCGCCACCTGGCTTGCCAGAAGTCGGCAGGCTGTAATTCTTTCCACAAGACGAGCCCTTCGTGTGCGTAGTTTTGAAAGCTCATTCTTCCACATCTTGCGAGACCCAAAGGCGTGCGTGCAGGACTTGCTCAGGGCCGGCATGAGAGTGTTTCTTGGCTTGCCCTCTGTCATGCTGACCGTTCCCTTCATTGCCTGAATGTGGCTGCTCTGGGGGAGGGCATACGGGCATACCCATAGAGGGTGAGGTAGAGCCTTAAGCAAAAAACACAAGAAAGCAACCGGTTATAACTAAGCAAACGGAAGGCTACAACTAACCCAGCTTCCGCATCACAGAAGCATCAAGCGTCAAATCATCAAACATCAGCAGAGCTTCGCAGCTGTCTCCGGGGGAAATTTAGGGTTTAGGGTTTAGGGTTTAGGGTTTAGGGTTAACATGCACACAAGTTCAAACGAAAACTCAAACCGACCCTGCCTTAGCCCTGCTGCCGAGCAAGCGTGGCAGATCCATGGCCCCAACACATGCACATGCACTGGCATTCTTGAGAAGAACGGGCGTTGGTTTCACAAAAACCCTCCCTTGTTGCCTTTCCTACTCGAACATGCTTGCAGAAGTCCCGAAGCTGAGCCAGCGTTCTCTTGCCCACAGCCTGGGCATGCGTACTGGCTGCTGCACTACACCACTCGCCATTCGCCCACGCACGGTCGTCGCCTTATCTTATTTGAAGCCTTGATTACGCAACATGTGCCCGGACTGGGCACCAGCGGCCATGGCGATTCTGAGTGCTTGCGGGCCGCGAAGACACGACTTCTGACGAACGCTTGTGGCTTCTAAGTTCTGTCACCCTCCAGGCGAAGTGACGGAAACAGCTGGGTGCATGAAGTCATCTACTGGATCGTCGAGTCGTAAGTAGGCTTCAGACCTGCTTTCTGTGAACAGCCCAGGGCTTGCGATTAATCGCAAAGAACTCGTGGCCCTGCATGTGCATGCAGGATGATAACCAATCCTCCAAAACATGTAGACTTTGCTAAGTCTGAGCTGTTGAGTTTGGCTCATGTGACAAGAGAACTTGGCACGATCCAGGTCTCCGAACCTCAAACGCTTCTCTCCCCCCCCACACCCCCCCCCCCCCGCCGGTGCAAGATCTTGGAAGATCGAGCTATCTGCAAAGATGGTGGCTGTGCAGTAAGAATCCCCCCGCCCTGGCCAACCCGCCCCAACAGCTCTCCAACTACAACAGCCCTCCAACCTCTCTTGTGGTCTCCAATCTCGGCTACTGGAAGCTGTAAGCTGCTTCCGCCAACACCTGATTTTTCCGGCCGTCCATGCGAAATCTTCGTGCATCCCACGGTCTCAGCGGTTTAAAGGGCATGGCACGGGGATGGGGACTTTTTTTTCTCAACGGATCTGCGCGATTCATTGGTCAGCAGCGAAGTACTTCGCCTGACAATCTCTTGGGGCGATCGCCTTTTCCGGATGACGTGGGGCATGCCTCTGAGTCCCTACTTACCGTTAAACCTGCGATGGCATGCCGAGTCTACGCGTCCGAGCCCTGTGTAATGTAGGGGTCGGAAGAATCACTAATAATCTTCCCTTAGGATCCCCTTTATAAATTACTAGCATAAGAACCCCCTCAAAACCGCATTCTAACTATTACGGCCCCCTACATTATTTGGATGGCCGTCCCCTGTACCCAGTGAAAGGGTTGCCTCGCATGAGGGCTTACAGAAATGCGTGTTGTACAAAACTCTTCTGCGGACTAACAGGGGAACTTATACAAACGTGCCACTCCCGTGGTTCGGAGCATCTTCGGGCAACATGGCAACTTGTTTCTCTACGTTGAAAACAGGCTATGAAAGAGTATATAGAAGACTTCAAACTGGGCATCGGAATTACCTGAAGAAGCCTCGAAGCGTCCAGGAGTTGAAGGATGAGCTGAACTCAAGGTCAGGACCGGGCTGATCTCAGGCAAAAGAAACTTTGGGGGCTTCTTCTCAGCTAGGATGGCCCCTTTAGCACCCTCTGAAACATATTCCCGCATATGATCCCCTCGAAACCCAAACAAGGGAGAATATAACATGTCCCAAGTCCCTACCTTCCCAGTGAAAGCAACCTTTAGCCGAGCGCGCTGCGTGGCTACGGGTCGTCAAGGGTGAGCTTGCGCGAGGCTTCTGCGGAGATGTTTTGAGTCGCTTGAAACGGAGCATCCGGGGTCAGGACTGCCAGAGCGTCACAGCTAGAACAACTAGAACAACTAGTAGAGCTACGTGGAACAAGAGACTGGTTCAGGAGGAGACCTTAAACCCCAAATCCCAAATCGTATGGAATTTGTAGGCACAGTCCTTCACAGACTCGGATGCCACAGTTGTGGCATGTTTTTTGCTGCAAGACGGTGGATGGTCATGCGTCCTGGACCTTTGCTACGGTTCAACGTGCCCGAAAGAAGCCTCAGCCTCAGCCTACATGTTACATTAGACTACAAAACAACTCAATATATGGATGATATATATGGTTCAGCGTCGAGCGTCCTGGGCCCCCCCCCCCCCCATGGTATCCCCCCCCCCCCCAAGCCTACTCTACGGTCCCTAAACCCTAAACCCTAAACCCTAAACCCTAAACCCTAAACCCCTAAACCGTAAACCCTAAACCCTAAACCCTAAAACCTAAACCCTAACCCTAAACCCTAAACCTTAAGTCTTAAACCTTAAACCCTAAACCCTAAAACCCTGAACCCTAAACCCTAACCCTAAAACCAACCCCCAACCACACCACAGGGGGGGGGGGATCATCTTAGTACCCCATCCGCGGGGAAAACCCTAAACCCTAAACCCTAAACCCTAAACCCTAAACCCTAAAACCCTAAACCCTAAAAAACCCTAAACCCCCAAAACCCTAAAACCCTAAACCCCTAAACCCTAAACCCTAAAACCCTAAAACCAACCCCCAACCACACCACAGGGGGGGGGGGGGGGGTACCATTGGGGGGGGGGGGGGGGGGTAGGGGGGAGGGGGGGGGGGCCCGCCGGGGCTGAATCATATATATATATATATATATACATATATTTTTCAATACAAAATAAGTACATATATACATATATATGTACACACACACATTCATAACACGACAAAAAAATGCTAGCATCATACCATCATACCAGGTATAAGCCCCTGAGCCGCCAAGTCCATCCTGCCGCCTCAGGATCCTGGACTCGGTACAGGGCCCCAAAACGGTTTAGGGTTTAGGGTTTAGGGTTTAGGGTTTAGGGTTTAGGGTTTAGGGCTCTTTGAATGGCCAAGATTAAAACATCTTGCCACACCCAGCATCTTAGTTGTCCAGTAGCCTTAGCAAACTAGATGTTAACCTTGGGGATGATATAGGAAGTAAAATCTCCCAAAAAAATTGAAAGGTTGTCTCTTAAGCCCTGATAGTGTCTGGTGTATGTTGGGTATGTTTCTCTTTGCAACTCCTAGTCGTAGTCCATGTCCCCTACTCGTCCCCAATAACCCTGATTGCATGGCCAGTCCTGGCAGTATGCCCGTTCATCGCTCTCTCCGACATGGCCAATGATAATCTCGGAGGAGGAGCGGACGAGCCCTGCCATCGCTCGAGAAGTCGGGTGTGGGCGGGTTTCATGAGTCAAGCCTAGGAATTCGGCAGCCACATGCTTCGCTCATCACGCCAGCAGAGAGTTTGAGAGTTTTCATCTAGCCGCGACACGACAAATTGCATGAAAGAACATGCAGGTGTGACGTTCAGCTATTGGGAGTCGGGTGCTTGGCAGTGCATGCGGGGGAGCAAACAGCATAATGTTGCTGCTCGCGGCAACATCTCACGACACGTGTGCAAGACTCCAAGTTGTCGATGTGCATGCGACTTGCGATCCAGGGTGGCATGTCGCCTCCTCCTCCCCCCCCCCACCAACACCTACCACAGCATGAAGCATGCCCAGGCTCTACACGGAACTCTAGCGGAAACCACGACTTGTGGTGGTGAATCGAAGCCGAAGCCGCATCTGAAGCAAACGTTGCACTCGTGGGCCCACCTCGAGGCTGCTGAGCCTCGACTGCGGGTGCTCTCCACCTCAGCTCGCCACATCGCTGAGAGGTGAAGGAGGATCACTGCAACCGCGGGGGGGGGGGGGGGGGTTGCGACATACAGAAACCGGCTATGATGCAAAATATATATATATATATATAATTATATATATTTATCATTGCCTCTTTTGCCACGATTGCTATTCTTCGCCTGTGCAAGCTACAAGCACTGCCGGCTAAGCTGTGTATGCTTCCTCTCCGTTGAATCTGAAGCCAACGGCGTGAAACCCTGGGCTCCCCCGACTGGACGGGGAAGACTCGCCTGGTAGGCGCGATGTTGGGTTTGAGTTCAAAGCCCATCTGCCAAAAAACTGCCCTGCATGTATGGTGCGCACGGAAGAAGCAAGCTAGCCCAGAACTTGTCAGAGCACACATTCCGCAGCACTCGGACAAAGAGGGCTCCTTTCAGCTCCATGGGGTGGGCGTTACACCCCAAGCCAAACGCCTAAAGTACCCCGCAGCCTGAGAAGGCCACAGGAAAGACCCAACTTTGCACGGTTTAGGGTTTAGGGTTCAGGGTTTAGGGTTTAGGGTTTAGGGTTTAGGGTTTAGGGTTTAGGGAGGAAGGGGTTCCCAAGGTTCCCTAATGCGCTCCCTGAAGATCCTCCCTCAAGAGCCCGAGAATAACTCTTCTAGCGATTTGGCATATGGGAATCCTGGATCGCTCAAAAAGGACCCTCGAAGCCTCAAAACGTAGCGCCTAAAACCCTAAACCCAACTCTACGAAGCCGAACAAAAACCTTCAAGCCCAAACATCCTCGATTCGGGGGCGGAGGCGGCCTGGGCTCATTCCACATGAAGCTGCCAGTAGGTGCCGGCATCTGGAATCACTTTGCAAATCGGCAAAAGTTCCCCACAGGGTTTGAGGGTTTGGGGCTCTTTTTCGTGCTTTCAGGGTGCCTTGGATTCGCAAACAACTAGAAGCTTTTGACAAATCCTGAAGACACGAGCTTTTGAGCTTCTTGTTTCCAAAACGAAGAAGCTTCCTGAACCACCTAAGGCTCGCACAAGCATTCTTGGGGAGCTTAGGGTTGGCGTTTTAAAAATGGCGAAGAAGCCCTTCCAGGGCCTGAATGAAACAAAACTCAGACCTCGACTGTATAACACAAGACCCGGCAAACTTCTGCAAGTTGACACCCCCAAGCCTGTAGTGACAGTGTAGCCCTAAACCTTGGGATGTTCCCCAAAATACTTACAGTCCTTCATAGGGATGATAATAGGGGCTACTATAGTCCCTATTAAGGACTGTCAGTATGGGCACATCCCTACCTAAACACCAAGCTCTCAGGTAAAGGAACGTAAGAACTCCAAACCAAGACCTGCACAACCCTCAACCCTCAGCACCAAGCCCCAAACCCTAAAGAACAGCCTCTCCAGGACAAACGCCCTAAACCCTAAACCCTAAACCCTAAACCCTAAACCCTACACCCTAAACCCTAAACCCTAAACCCTAAACCCTCCGTGCCTGGAGCGCCAAGTGAGCCCCGGGGGCTCCGGGAACTCCGGGGGCTCCGGGAACTCCGGGGGCTCCGAAGGCTCTGGGGGCGGCGGCCCAAGGAGGAGGGGAAAAGCTGCCTCCCCAGGGTGGATTTAGGGGTTTAGGGTTTAGGGGTTTAGGGTTTTGGGGTTTAGGGTTTTAGGGTTTGGGGCCTAGGTTTCAGGCTTGGGGCTGGGGTTTAGGGTTTGGGGTTCTGGGTTTCGGGTGGGGGGGGAGGGGTTTACAGGGAGAAAACTAAGGCGGGTCCAGGAGGCAGCCCACCGAGGAGAACGGGCTCCGTACCCTACCAAAGTCGAGGGGGCGGCGTTAAGCCTTGAGTCTGGGGTTTGGGGCTTCGGGTTTAGGGTTTCGGGTTTGGGGGTTGAGGGTTTCGGGTTTAGGGTTTGGGTGGTGGGTTTAAAGGGTGTAGGGGGCTGATAGGGTAGGGTTTACGGGGCTTAGAAGATCTAGGGGATGTTTACGGTGGGGTTATAGGGTTTGGGGTTGAGTGACGGGTGACGTGAGGGTTCTTCAGGATGAGGCACTCTGATTATTGCTAGTGTGTTTTTAAACACGTCCACAATTTAGAAAAACAAAAACGTGAGGGAACCGAATAGCCCTGCCACAACTCACACTCTTCAATGGCATTTCAAGGAAGCACCTCCCCGCGCACCTGGCCATCTCGCTGCAAAGGGCGCGGCAGGGACGCGCACGGAACCAAACCCTGGCGCTTGCGAGCTGGTACCAGGATTTCTGTGTGACTCCGAGGTCTGTGCAAGACAGAACCGTGGCTTGTGGTGATTCTGCGCTGACGGCGGAGGGGCGAGCAATGTCCTGCTCCTACAGGTGCAAAATCGATCAAAGCCGTGGATCCTAGCAAGCACCCAGGGACAACCGGAGAGCTTCGGATTCGGATGGTCAGAAATAACCAGGCTTCTACAAGGGAAGCACCTCGGGGTACCGCTTTTCGCTGAAGCTTTCCGGATGAACTAATCTACATCGAAATCGTCGAACTATACAAGATTTTAAAACAGCTTGGAGTCGTGGAGTTTAAAAAAGTTTCGGGTCACTTCTTCGAGATCTTGACGCGGCAGCCGTCCTTGTAAACCAGGTTGACCTTGCCAGAAGTGACAAAATCACAAAGAAGCTAGACTGGGTATATTGGGGTTGTATTCTACCCACGTAGAGGTTGTGGGCTTGCATTCTACCTACACAGAGCTTGTAGGAGGTGAACATATTGACTTATGGGCTCCGATGCTAACATCGCCCAATCCTTCCAGTGTGCCTTCCAATGGCAATGGCCCTATGCAAATGGCCGGTTGGGGTTTACTGGCGCACTTGCTCCGAAATCCTTCTGCCTTTTTGAGCTGTTTGATTTATCTTGAAAGGTGAGCGGCTGGATTGCTCGGATCCACGACCTCGGTCGTGTCGAGCACCTGACAGAGGCATTCGGCAATTGCGGCCGAATGTCTAATGGCCAGTAGCGCCGCGCAGTTTGCCTTTCCTAAGGAAGAAATCGCCAGCAAGTCAGCCAGCAAGTCAGTGAAGACCCCCGGAGGCACGGGCATGGCTGCTTTTTGCTTTCAGTTCCGTAAAAGCGCTCTGGAACAGCAAGTTCGGGCCGTCATGCCTTGTCTGTTGATCTGTAAAGCCTGTACGTGCAGCTTAGAACTGTTATAAAAGCTTCAACTTCACTATATAGGCTGAACCTTATACATACATGTGTGTAAGACAGATGCATATACATACATACATATACATATCCTTATATATATATATATGTATATATACATATATATATATATAATATTCCCAGCCTCGAAGTCATAGTCGCGACAGAGGATGCGCGCGAAAAGCTGCAACTCGACCAGGGCCAGGTACTTCCCGATGCACTCGTGTGGCTGGTGGCCGCCGAAAACGAGGAAGCGGTCCTTTGAGCTGTTGCATCTACTCCTTAACATAAATACAGATATTTTCTTAAAAAGAAATACATACATATATGTACATATATGTATGTATGTATATATATATATATATACATATGTGTGTGTAGATATCTTAGGCAGGATTGTTGAAGGCCCATAAGGGACCTGAGAGTCCGCCAAGGTCAAAGTGTATACATCGTTTCTATCAGACATCCGCTATTTACTCGTTTGCATCGTAGACATCATCTGACTGAGGGCATGCCTCAACCTCAACTTCTGCAGCTGTGACGGGAGAAACTGCCTTCAACAACCGCGGGAGCCAGGATACGCTACTCTCAACGCCCGACACCGCTCGAGTCACCACACCTCTTAACGCTGGGGTCCGTAGACGCGTTAGACAGGCTGCAGCGACAGGAGCCGCAAAATGCACATCTGCTCGGCCTCTCAACATGTTTACGCAGATATACATACAAAAACAGCAAAAAAGACACTCACCCACCCACCCACACGCACCTGCTACTCAAAAACACTCAGCCTGTACTCCAGACCTGCCTCAAGCCACAGAAACTTTAACCCAAAGCAAGCTTGTCACCTAGCAAGCCCTAACCTGACCCCGTGTGAGATCCGTGTTCCCCCTAAAGGCCCTAACTCGAAGACCTGAAGGCTTAGAGGGTTCGGGCGGCTGGGCGTTCGAAGCTTCGAGCTTCATGCCTAGGCTTCCCCAAGCACAGGAACTAAGGGTTTAGGGCTTAGGGTTGCGGTACTCATGTTGCACTGACCTTAATAATATGCATCCTCTAGAATCACAAGTTTCCAAAATGATTCTGCGAACCGAGTTTGTTAGAGGTACCCGCGAATATCACAAGTTTTTTCCGGACGTGCTTCTTTTTTTGTTCATGTTTAGGGCCAAGGGCTTACGCAGTAAACTTGAGGCCCCGAGGGCCTTGGGCTCCAGGAATCTTAAAGGCTGGAAAGCTTCAGGCCTTAAGGTCCTGAAGGCTTGAGGCCCTGAGGGCGCTTCCCCCCCCCCCCCCCCCCCTACCCCAGTTTGTGTGGGGGGGGGGGGGGTCGCCGCGCCATGCGTTTATAGAGGGTCCAAATTTCTGTGGGGGAAGGGGGGGGGGGGGCGGTTTGTTAAAGACAGTGCAACAATATATTCTTCTGCTGTTGTTTCTGTACGGTTTTACTGCGTTGTACTATAATATCACTGCACTATGAGTGCAGCTTCCTCTTGGCTGAGCTTCTTTCTCCAGCGTCAACCAACGATCCGGCTCGAATGTGTCACCCAGCTCCTGCACAGGTACCACAGTGTGTGTTTTCACTGCTGCTTCTGGAGCAGTGGGCTGCAAGAGACAGCTATTTCTGGTGTTTGCAAGCAATACTAGCGCACCCATGATGTCTTCTCGAGACTGCACGTCATGGTGTGTAGTCCACAGGGTGTTTTCTGCTACTGAAGCCCCGAAAGAACCCCAAACCATCCCGAAAAGAATGTAAGCGAAACCCAAACCCTAAACCCTAAACCCTACACCCTACACCCTACACCCTAAACCCCAAACCCCAAACCCCAAACCCTAAACCCTAAACCCTAAACCCTAAACCCTAAACCTCTCCTTGCCATCCCTTGCCCCCCCAAAGAAATCTCCTTCAGCGTCGGGGTGAAGTAGACTGCCATGGGGCAGCCCATCGGCACCACCCCGTGCTCACCCAAGTCGGTGTCCTTCAGAAGTAGGGTTTAGGGTTTAGGGTTTAGGGTTTAGGGTTTAGGGTTTCGGGCTTAGGGTTCAGAAATGTTGAGGTGACCATGGTCATCTCCCCATGTCTTTCCTATATCTCGACTGGGATAAGACAGAAGCTCCAAAACAATCAAACCTCGAACTCCGTGCAATTGTGGCCAGGCCTTCGGGAAACCCTTCACTCTTGAACAAAAAATAAGATAAACAACATAATATATATATATATATGTAAGAGGAACCTTTACGTATCATTTGACCTTTGTCCTTGCCTCCTTACTCCAATATGAAGAATTAGAAATTTAGGAATTCAGGCCTTAAGCCGAAACTCCTAAATTACCAATTCCTTGAAATTAGGAATTAATGAATTTAGGAGTTTCGGCTTAAGGCCCGAATTCCTAAATTCCTAAATTCCTGATTCCCCGGAATTAGGAATTGAGGAATTTAGAATTTCGGCTGAAGGCCTGAATTCCTAAATTCCTCAATTCCTAATTCCCGGGAATTAGGAATTTAGGAATTTCGGCTTAAGGCAAAAACTCCTAAATTCCTCAATTCCTAATTCCAGCGGGCCAGAAACCCAGAGGAATTAGAACTTCTGAAATTCCTTGAATTCCTTAAATTTCTAAATTCCTAATTCCCGGGAATTAGGAATTTAGGAGTTTTGGCCTTGAGCCAAAATTCCTAAATTCCTAATTCCCGGGAATTAGGAATTTAGGAATTTAAGGAAATCAAGGAATTTCAGAAGTTCTAATTCCTCTGGGTTTCCGGCCCGCTGGAATTAGGAATTTAGGAATTTAGGAGATTTGGGCTGTAGCCGAAATTCCTAAATTCCTAAATTCCTAATTTCCGGGAATTAGGAATTTAGGAATTTAGGAGTTTTGGCCTGTAGCCGAAATTCTTAAATTCCTAAATTCTTAATTCCAGCGGGCCAGAAACCCAGAGGAATTAGAACTTCTGAAATTCCTTGAATTCCTTGAATTCCTAAATTCCTAATTCCCGGAAATTCGGAAATTAGGAATTTAGGAGTTTTGGCCTTGAGCCGAAATTCCTAAATCCCTAAATTCCTAATTCCCGGGAATTAGGAATTTAAGAATTCAAGGAAAGCGGGCCAGAAACCCAGAGGAATTAGAACTTCTGAAACTCTTTGAATTCCTTAAATTCCTAAATTCCTAATTCCCGGAAATTAGGAATTTAGGAATTTAGGAGTTTCGGCTAAAGGCCGAAAATCATAAATTCCTAAATTCCTAATTCCAGCGGGCCGGAAACCCAGAGGAATTAGAACTTCTAAAATTCCTCGAAATCCTTAAATTCCTAAATTCCTAATTCCCGGGAATTAGGAATTTAGGAATTTCGGCTACAGGCCAAAACTCCTCAATTCCTAAATTCCTACTTCCAGCGGGCCGGAAACCCAAAGGAATTAGAACTTCTGAAATTCCTTGAATTCCTTAAATTCCTAAATTCCTAATTCCCGGGAATTAGGAATTTAGGAATTTACGAGTTTTGGCCTTGAGCCGAAATTCCTAAATTCTCAAATTCCTAATTCCCGGGAATTAGGAATTTAGAAATTTAAGGAACTCAAGGAATTTCAGAAGTTCTAATTCTTCTGGGTTTCCGGCCCGCTGGAAGTAGGAATTTAGGAATTTAGGAGTTTTGGGCCTGTAGCCGAAATTCCTAAATTCCTAAATTCCTAATTCCCAGGAATTAGGAATTTAGGAATTTAAGGAATTCAAGGAATTTCAGAAGTTCTAATTCTTCTGGGTTTCCGGCCCGCTGGAATTAGGAATTTAGGAATTTAAGGAATTCAAGGAATTTCAGAAGTTCTAATTCCTCTGGGTTTCCGGCCCGCTGGAATTAGGAATTTAGGAATTTAGGAGTTTTGGCCTGTAGCCGAAATTGCTAAATTCCTAAATTCCTAATTCCCGGGAATTAGGAATTTAGAAATTTAAGAGTTTTGGGCTGTAGCTGAAATTCCTAAATTCCTAATATTGCTAATTCCAGCGGGCCGGAAACCCAGAGGAATTAGAACTTCTGAAATTCCTTGAATTCCTTAAATTCCTAAATTCCTAATT